CATGATCTCGCCATCACGGTTGACAACTCCGTTGTGTCCTCCTCCCAGAGTGTGAAGAGCCTTGGCGTGACCCTGGACAACACCCTGTCGTTCTCCGCTAACATCAATGCGGTGACCCGATCCTGTAGGTTCATGCTCTACAACATTCGGAGAGTACGACCCTGCCTTATACAGGAAGCGGCACAGGTCCTAATCCAGGCACTTGTCATCTCCCGTCTGGATTACTGCAACTCGCTGTTGGCTGGGCTCCCTGCCTGTGCCATTAAACCCCTACAACTCATCCAGAATGCCGCAGCCCGTCTGGGGTTCAACCTTCCCAAGTTCTCTCACGTCACCCCGCTCCTACCGCACACTCCACTGGCTTCCAGTTGAAGCTCGCATCTGCTACAAGACCATGGTGCTTGCCTATGGAGCTGTGAGGGGAACGGCACCTCCGTACCTTCAGGCTCTGATCAGTCCCTACACCCAAACGAGGGCATTGCGTTCATCCACCTCTGGCCTGCTGGCTCCCCTACCTCTGCGGAAGCATAGTTCCCGCTCAGCCCAGTCAAAACTGTTCGCTGCTCTGGCACCCCAATGGTGGAACAAGCTCCCTCACGACGCCAGGACAGCGGAGTCACTCACCACCTTCCGGAGACATTTGAAACCCCACCTCTTTAAGGAATACCTGGGATAGGATAAAGTAATCCTTATACCCCCCCCTTACCCCACCTTTTTTAAATACACAAAAACATTGAAAAAAAAAAAATAATAATAATAATTGGTAAGTGGTTATAAGGTGAATGCACCTATTTGTAAGTCACTCTGGATAAGAGCGTCTGCTAAATGACGTAAATGTAAATGTAAACATAACACAACGCACACAAACGTCACCCTAACCACACACAACGCAACTAACACAACACACAACGTCAACACACACACTCAACATAACACAAACGTCAACATAACAAAACAACACAACAAACCGAACACAAACACACAAACACACACATACAAACACACACACCACGACATAACAAACAAACGTCAACAACACACCACACATAAAACCACAACAACAAACAACACACACACCAACTCAACATAACACAACACAACAAACACAACACACAAAAGCAAACTAACAAAACATCACAACAACAACAATACAACCAACACACACAACCACATCACCCATAACACAACACCCACAACGTAAACCCATAACACAACACACAACGTCAACATAAAAACAACACACACACAAACGTCAACATACACACACACACAACGCAACATAACACACACACACACAACGTCAACATAACACCACCACACAACACCAACATCACAACACCACATACCCAACACAAACATCAACAGCAACATAACAAAACACACACAACGTCAACATTACACAACCACACAACGTCAACATACACAACACACCACAACGTCAATCCATAACACAACACACACAACGTCAAACATAACACACAACACACAACGTCAACATTACACACACACACACACCCGTCAACATAACACAACACACCACAACGTCAACATAACACAACACCAACACACGTCAACATAACCACACACACACAACGTCAACATAACACAACACACACAACTCAACATAACACAACACACACACTTCAACATAACACAACACACACACCCACACCACCCTCCACACTCCCCACACACACACAACGTAAACCCATAACCACACACCACAACTCAACATACACACAACACACACAAGTCACATAACACCCACCACCAACATCACAACACACACACACCCACAACATCACCAAACAACACACCACAACAACTCAACATTACACAACACACACACACGTCAACATAACACAACACACACAACTTCAACATACACAACCACACGTCAACATAACACAACCACACACCAACGTCAACATACACAACACACACAACGTCAACATAACACACACACACACACAACGTCAACATTACAAACACAACACCAACTAAACCCAAACACACATCAACATAACACAACAACATAAACCACACCACAGTCGAATAACACAACCCACACACACAACACAACACACACAACACCACATAACCAACACAACATACACACCAACATACACAACGTCGACATAACACAACGTCAACAAACACACCACACCACAATTCCAACATAACACAACCCACACGCAACAACACACACACACAACCATCACCATACACACACCACACAACGGCACATAACACAACACACACCAACGCACCATAACAAACACCACAACATCAACAAACCACACACCACCAAAACACAACCAACACACAACACAAATAACACATCAACAACACAACCCACACTCACATCAACAACAACGGCAACATAACACAACATCAACATAACACAACACCACACAAAGTCAACATGAACACAACACACAACGTCAACATAACACAACATCAACATAACACAACATTATTATTATTATTTATTTATTTTTGTCATTTAGCAGACGCTCTTATCCAGAGCGACTTACAGGAGCAATTAGGGTTAAGTGCCTTGCTCAAGGGCACATCGACAGATTTTTCACCTGTCCGCTCGGAGGAATTAGAACAGCGGACCTTTCGGTTACTGGCACAACGCTCTTAACCACTAACACAACATCAACATAACACAACACACACAACATCAACATAACACAACGTCAACATAACACAACATCGTCAACATAACACAACACACACAACGTCAACATAACACAACACACAACGTCAACAGAACACAACATCAACATAACACAACACACACAACGTCAACATAACACAACACACAACGTCAACATAACACAACGTCAACATAACACAAGATCAACATAACACAACACACACAACGTCAACATAATATTAATAATAATAATAATAATAATAATAATAATAATAATAATAATAATAATAAGCCATTTAGCAGACGCTTTTATCCAAAGCGACTTACAGTCATGTGTGCATACTTTTTTACGATCCCGGGGATCGAACCCACTACCCTGCCGTTACAAGCGCCATGCTCTACCAGTTGAGCTACAGAGGACCACATAACACAACATAACACAACACACACAACGTCAACATAACACAACACACCCAACGTCAACATAACACAACACACACAACGTCAACATAACACAACACACCCAACGTCAACATAACACAACATAACACAACATCAACATAACACAACATACACAACATCAACATAACACACACACAACGTCAACACAACATTCCAGCGACAAGTTAGACAGATACTCTTCATTGAGTAACTACAGGAGTCTCCTCCCTCTGGCATCCATCAGCAGTCAGCCTCATTGACCCGACCTCTAACCCTGACTGTCTCTAGGGGTCAATCATCCACTCAACTACTGTCTCTCTAACCTCTCTCTCAATCAGCTACATCTCCCTTTCTATCTTTCTATCTCTCCACTCAGATTCTCTCCATCTGTATGTCTTTTTATTTCTCTTGAAGCTTCTGTTTCTTTATTCCTCTCTGCCTGTTGTCCCCCTCTCGCTTTGTCTTTCTACATGGTATCCATTTCTGCCACCATATGCTGAATACCAGTAACACTTTGCTGAATATGACCTGACATATTTTTGGTAACAAAGCCCATCTCTCTACTATACTACATTAATACAACTGGACACCGTGCTGTAGTCTACGTTGTACTGGCTAGCTAGCTACATTCATAGTAATATTAGAGTGTTCCCTTAGTCGCTGTTATGAGGCTGTAGTTCAGAGATATATAGTTTGGGCCAGACACAGCTGACATTCCCAGGAAGATTCTCCGGACTGAATCGGAAACGCATTATGAAACATACCGGTGACAGCTGGAAACTACCAAAGACACTCAGACTACACACACACACTCCCTGTCTGTGACACACACCCACAGACAAGCGGACAGACTGTCAGTCTCCGACTAACACCTCCACAAAATAAACACACACACGTATACGTACATACACACAAACATTCTCTGTCTGTCAAAACACTAACACACACAGATACGGTCTCTGACAAACACCCACACAAAAACAATTATTAGAAGCGTTGACACAGAGACCTCAATGAACAGGCAAGTATTCAGTATTCATCCCTTATGGGAAGATGAATGCAGAGATAGGGGGAGCAACGGAGAGGAGGTCAGAATGTGTGAAGGGGCGAATTGAGGGGGCTGAGGGAGAGAGTAGGGTGTGGGGTTGTCTGAGGGGGCTGAGGGAGGGAGGAGGTTGTGGGGTTGTCTGAGGGGGCTGAGGGAGAGAGGAGGGTGTGGGGTTGTCTGAGGGGGCTGAGGGAGGGAGGAGGTTGTGGGGTTGTCTGAGGGGGCTGAGGGAGAGAGGAGGGTGTGGGGTTGTCTGAGGGGGCTGAGGGAGGGAGGAGGGTGTGGGGTTGTCTGAGGGGGCTGAGGGAGGAGGTTGTGGGGTTGTCTGAAGGGGCTGAGGGAGGGAGAAGGTTGTGGGGTTGTCTGAAGGGGCTGAGGGAGAGAGGAGGGTGTGGGGTTGTCTGAAGGGGCTGAGGGAGGAGGTTGTGGGGTTGTCTGAAGGGGCTGAGGGAGGGAGAAGGTTGTGGGGTTGTCTGAAGGGGCTGAGGGAGAGAGGAGGGTGTGGGGTTGTCTGAGGGGGCTGAGGGAGAGAGGAGGGTGTGGGGTTGTCCGAGGGGGCTGAGGGAGTAGGTTGTGGGGTTGTCTGAGGGGGCTGAGGGAGAGATTGGAGACGGGCGAGAGAGGTGGCGTGAGGGAAGGGTGAATGTATCTCCCAGTTCCCCAGTTGGAACGAGCAGCTGCAGGGTTATTGGAGCACATTCTTGATTTCTGACACAAATTGAATTAATGGTCTGAAGGGGGTTGAGACTTCCCCCTCCCCCGCACAGTTGGGTACCACCGCACCACCACACTAGCCCCCTAAAAACCCTCAATCAGGGGGTCCCCCATATACACACACCCACCCGTCCTCCCCCAGCCCTGCCCAGCCCGGCTAATCCCACCCGCTATAGAGTCAACACCTCCAGAGCAGGCCGTAAAAGCCTTGGGCTCGGGTGACAGGGCAACAGGTGCAGAGGGCCTGCAGAGTGGGCTCCAGCAGTGCTGACATGGAACACCCAGAAGGCCATATTTACAGCCTGGTCTGAGGCGGTGGTTTTGGGGCTGACCGCACACCTCTACCGGGTACCTCAGCTTTTCAAACCAACAGGGCTCTGTGGACACGGCTTCGTTCAACAGAAGAAGAGATAGTTTGAACCAAGAGGAGAATGAGAGGAGGAGGAGGAGACTTGCCTGGCCCTGCATGTCAGGAGCAATGGGGATGGACGGCCAGAAAGCTGAGTAGGACAGGTGAAAGAAGAGAACCAAGAGAAAGGCAATTACTGCACCCATACCGCCCAGGTGGGGAAAACTATAGGGAGAGGAGAGGGGGGAGGGGTGGGAGAGAGGAGGAGAAGGAGGGTGGAGAGGGAGGGAGTGGGTGGAGGAGAGAGGGAGAGAGGGGGGTGGAGATAGAGGGAGGAGGGGGTTGGGAGGGGTTGGTTTTTATTTTTTTTTTTTTTTCTTGTTTTTCTTTCTTTCTCTCTTTTTCTTTTTCTCGCTCTCTTTTTTTTCTTTTTTGTGAGGGGGAGAAGAAAAGGAAAAAGCATATAGGACCAGGTCCATAGTTAGTTACTGTACACAGACTGAATATAGACAACCTTGTCCCTGAGCGTCCCCCCTCCTCTCTGACCCTCTCCCCTCCTCTCCCTCTGTAAGGGGACACTGTGAATCCTATGAGACAGCTGAACGGACAGTGGGAATGACCTGAGATGGCTGTAACACATGGCAAGGAGTGTGTGTGTGTGTGTGTACAGTAAATAAGGGGGGGGGGGGCTGTCAATCTGTAGGCTGCCATCCATCTGTAGTCTGCCATCCATCTGTAGGCTTCCATCCATCTGTAGGCTAACCTTCCATCTGTAGGCTACCACCCCTCCATCTGTAGGCTACCGTCCCATCTGTAAGGCTCCCTTCCATCTGTAGGCTACTCCATCTGTGGGCTACATCCATCTGTAGGCTACCATCCATCTGTAGACTACATTCCATCTGTAGGCTACATTCCATCTGTAGGCTGCCATCCATCTGTAGGCTACCTTCCATCTGTAGGCTACCGTCCATCTGTAGGCTACCGTCCATCTGTAGGCTACCGTCCATATGTAGGCTACCTTCCATCTGTAGGCTACCGTCCATATGTAGGCTACCTTCCATCTGTAGGCTACCATCCATCTGTAGGCTACCGTCCATCTGTAGGCTACCGTCCATCTGTAGGCTACCATCCATCTGTAGGCTACCGTCCATCTGTAGGCTACCATCCATCTGTAGGCTACCGTCCATCTGTAGGCTACCTTCCATCTGTAGGCTACCTTCCATCTGTAGGCTACCATCCATCTGTAGGCTACCATCCATCTGTAGGCTACCTTCCATCTGTAGGCTACCATCCATCTGTAGGCTACCATCCATCTGTAGGCTACCATCCATCTGTAGGCTACCATCCATGTGCTACTATATATCACCATGGTACATATAAGCAGTCTATAGGAGTAGTGGAGAGGGAGTGTAATCGTTATGGTAAACCAGACTGTACTCTTACCCTGGTCCAGGCAGTGGTTTCCATACCAGCTTTCAAACACACTGTTACTACCACATACTGCAGAGAGAAAAGAGAGAGAGAGAAAGGGAGAGTGTGGAGAAGGGGGAAGAGAGTGAATGAGGGAGGAGAGAAAGAAAGGGAGAAAGAAAAGAGAGAAGGGGTTAGTTCACAAACGACAGCAGAGATAATAAACATCCATAATGATATACTGTAAACACCTGTTAAAACACTCAGAGTATAACTGCTGCTCTCAGCCATCTAAACACACACACACACACACACACACACACACAAATAAGCAACAGACACACAACGTGCTGAATTGAAGGAACAGAGTGATAGAGAGAGAAGGTGGGAGAGAAGGGACACTGTCAATGAATGGAGCGATTGCTGAGGACACCATAGACTGACTGCAGTCCCATGAGAGCACTTCATTACTTGTGTAATGGCCAGTCTAACATCTCTGTAGCAGGATCCAAGAAGTGGAATTCACACACACCACACACACAGTTTATCAGACTGGGCTTTGCATTAGTGGGATGAGTCCATGTTTATGTTCACAGTGTCAGCACCAACACAGACGAGACACACTGCGAGGGGCTGCAGAGGGACATGTGCTTACCGTGTACACCATGTTCCCCACAAACAGGTAGTCAGTACCATGACCGTTACTGAAAGGAGTGTCTGGGGAGAACACACACATTCTGAAATATTTACTACAAGATGTACAGTTATTGTACGTCCACTTAATTACTGAATGTACAGTTACTTTAAGATGAAGAGTGCATGTGTGTGAGTGAGTGTGTCTAGCAGGGTGTGTGTAGGGACCACTACTTACCATGTTCTACTACTTTGAGTGGAAACCAGAAGAGAACAATGGAATGGATCAGAGCATTTATACAGTGACCCCAAAACACCTAAGAGAGAGAGAGAGAGAGAGAGAGAGCGAGAGAGAGAGAGAGAGAGAGAGAGCGAGAGAGAGCGAGAGAGCGCGAGAGAGAGAGCGAGAGAGAGAGAGCGAGAGAGCAAGAGAGAGAGCGAGAGAGAGAGACAGAGAGAGAGAGAATGAAAGAGAGCGAGATAGAGAATGAAAGAGAAAGAGAGAGAGAGAGAGAGACAGAGAGAATGAAAGAGAGCGAGATAGAGAATGAAAGAGAGAGAGAGAGAGAGAGAGAGAGCAGTAGTAGAGTCAGTACAACAACAGTGTTCAGTAATACAACTACCACTGTGTATTCACCATTGCTACCAACCAACTGCCCCCCCCCCACAGTCTTCTACAACTAACCTTGTGGGGACACACAATGCAGTCCCGTTCAAAATCCTATTTTCCCTAACCCTAACCCGTAACCTTACCCCAACCCAAAATTCTTCCCTTAACCCTAAACCTAACCCTAGCTCCTAACCCTAAAACTAACCCTAGTTCCTAACCCTAATTATAACCCTAACACTAATTCTAACCTTAACCCCCCTAGAAATAGCATTTGACCAAAGTGGGGACTAACAACATGTCCCCAGTTGAAAAAAAAAAAAAAAAAGTGTACTAATCTTGTGGGGACTTCTACACACACACACACACACACACACACACCTTCTCCCCCTAAATGAATGACTTCCTTATTCTAGTCCTCTGAATCTCATTAGAGTTGCCATGGGGATGGCCCAGACTCCCTGCCACCTTGCTAACACGTTTCCACTGCTCCAGAGTCCAATGGCGGTGAGCTTTACAACACTCCAGCCGACGCTTGGCATTGTGCATGGTGATCTTAGGCTTGTGTGTGGCTGCTCGGCCATGGAAACCCATTTCATGAAGCTACGAACAGTTCTTGTGCTGACGTTGCTTCCAGAGGCAGTTTGAAACTCGGTAGTGAGTGTTGCAACCGAGGACAGACGATTTTTACGCGCTTCAGCACTCGGCGGTCCCGTTCTCTGAGCTTGTTTGGCCTACCACTTCACAGCTGAGCCGTTGTTGCTCCTAGACGTTTCCACTTCACAATAACAACACTTACAGTTGACCGGGGCAGCTCTAGCAGGGCAGACATTTTACAAACTGACTTGTTGGAAAGGTGGCATCCTATGACGGTGCCACGTTGAAAGTCACTGAGCTCTTCAGTAAGGCCATTATACTGCCAATGTTTGTCTATGGAGATTGCATGGCAGTGGCTGAAATAGCCGAATCCAGTAATTTGAAGGGGTGTCCACATACTTTTGTATATATAGTGTAGCTTCATTTCAGATGATGCAATAAATGTGCATATAGGCCTACAAGTTGTGAAACTCTAAACTAAACTTGAACTCTATCTAAACTCAAATTGTTTCATTCATAGTGTTCAAAGTTCAAAAAGGTTCCATATGCTTGACCATTAATAATTATGGCAGTGTTTGTGTGCACAGTATTTCAATGTGATTGAAAATGTAAAAAAGGGGTGTATGTGCGTGTGTGTGTTTGTTTGGGTGTGTATGTACCTTGGTGTTGAAGCCCTCAGCGTTCTGGGTGATCCTGTATAGCTGGGGGAAGCGGAGCATGTTCTGCTGACTGCACGGCCGGTCAAAGATCCCCAGAGTGAAGGGAGGCAGCGCTGTGAAGATCTGACACACACACACACACACACACAGTACAAAGTCAAACACCCAAACAAACACTATGAATGATTAACTTTCAGAAATTCAGACTTACTCCGTTGGCTGTTTTCTCGGTCGCACAATCAACACAACAATCACAGTGACACAATCAACACAACAATCACAGTGACACAATCAACACAACAATCACCGTGACACAATCAACACAACAATCACAGTGACACAATCAACACAACAATCACCGTGACACAATCAACACAACAATCACAGTGACACAATCAACACAACAATCACAGTGACACAATCAACACAACAATCACAGTGACACAATCAACACAACAATCACAGTGACACAATCAACACAACAATCACAGTGACACAATCAGCAGGAATTCCACCACTTCCAAACATGGTGAGCCTGAGGGTTGGATACATTATCAGTGAGACGTAGCAGCAGAGAGAGGAGAACTGACAGTGTATAGAAGCCCAAACACACTGCTATGGTGATAGGAAGCATAGAACACAGCTCACACAGAGTGGAGACATGGAAAAAAAAGGAGAGTGAAAGAGAGGGAGGGAGGGAGGGAAGGAAGGAGAGAGAGAGATTGAAAGAGAGGGAGGGAGGGAAGGAAGGAGACAGTGAAAGGGAGGGAGAGGGAGAAAGGGTGAAAGAGATAAAAAGATAGAGAACGCGGGGGAGTATAGGACAGATCCAGAGAGTGAAAGAGTAATGGACAGTATGAATAAAAGTGGACACTCACCACATTGTAGAGGCCTATACACCAGCGTTCAAACAGGATCTGTCCAGAGAAGCCGTTCACAAAGGCAAACCACAGCTGGACAAAAGAGAGGGATGATATAGGATGAGTGAAACAAGGATGCAAGGAATAAACGGCTTTATAGGGCTAGATGGAGGATAACCACATGGCCCTTGGTCATACAGCGCCTTCAGAAAGTATTCACCTCTTTACTTTTTCCACATTTTGTTGTGTTACAGCTTGAATTTAAAATTGATTACATTTAGATTTTGTGTCACTGGCCTACACACAATACCCCATAAATGTCATTTTTTAAATTAAATGTTTACAAATTAATAAAGAATGATAAGCTGAAATGTATTGAGTCAATAAGTATTCAACCCCTTTGTTATTGCAAGCCTAAATAAGTTCAAGAGTAAAAATGTGCTTAACAAGTCACATAATAAGTTGCATGGACTCACTCTGTGTGCAATAATAGTGTTTAACATGATTTTTGAATGACTACCTCATCTATGTACCCCACACATAAAATTATCTGTAAGGTCCCTCAGTCGAGCAGTGAATTTCAAACAAAGATTCAACTACAAAAGACCAGGGAGGTTTTCAAATGCCTCGCAAAGAAGGGCATCTATTGGTAGATGGGTAAAAATAAAAAAGCAGACATTGAATTTCCCTTTGAACATGGTGAAGTTATTAATTTTCACTACAAAGACACAGGCGTCCTTCCTAACTCAGTTACCGGAGAGGAAGGAAACCACTCAGGTATTTCACCATGAGGCCAATGGCGACATTAAAACAGTTACAGAGTTTAATGGCCGTGATAGAAGAATACTGAGGATGGATCAACAACACTGTAGATACTCCACAATACTAACCTAATTGACAGAGTGAAAAGAAAGAAGCCTGTACAGAATAAAAATATTCCAAAACATGCATCCTGTTTGCAACAAGGCACTAAAAACAAAAATGTGGCAAAGCAATTCCCTTTTTGTCCTGAATACAAAGTGTTATCTTTGGGATAAATCCAATACAACACATTACTGAGTACCACTCTCAATATTTTCAAGCACAGTGGTGACTGCATCATGTTATGGGTACGCTTGCAAGCAGTGGCGATCCGTCACCTGTTTTGAGCCCCACCTGTTTAGCCCACCTGTTTTACATGTTATTTTGGCATTAATACGTGTTACATAACAGTTTGCAAACAATGTAAAAAAAAAAAAAAAGAACGAAATATCATTGAGTTAATAAAGCCGCATACAAACTTGGTCTCTTTTTTGCTTTCTTGAGTAAGGCAGCTCCAAAATACAGGTGTTTCAGCCTAACTCAGTGCTTTCTGTGGTGGTGGGGCAGCGAGCGGAAAATACAGAGCGTAGGGGTTGGTAATGTTCTCTAGTTGCGCCGTGATTGGCTCAGTGTTCTGTCACTCATGGGGACACTATGTCACCGCAAAATCTATGGGTGGAGCTAAAAAATTCAAGCCCCTTGGGTGCTGCCATAGAGTTACATTAGAGGTGCCCATCCAAGAAGGCTCAAGGTCATTGGCCACAGATAAAATGACATCAAATCACGTTATATCTACAGTAGCTTTGATTGGACTGATCATGTCAACATCATACTTTCAAAATCTTAGCTAGCAAGCTAGCAATCATCATCATGAATCATGAATCAGTCGACAATCTACTGGCAAATCCTTTTCAATCCTTGTCATATGAAGATAAATAATTAAGATACATTATAGATCAAACGTATCGGTGCTAATAGGCCATTGGACATAAACATTACACAAGTTGGAAATCGCAAATTCAACAATGAGTAGTTTGGAAGGAATCAGTTGGTAACTGCAAGCATTGCAAAGCAATCACTAGCCTGCTATTCAGTGGAGTGGATGTGTGGTCCAAGTCTGGGTTTAAGGGTCTCTTTTCCAAGCTTAAAATGATAAACATTCAACATTGGCCATGCTGTCAATCCAGCATGACTTCTGCCGCGCTCAAAACAATTGGAAACTCGGTACTGCGAAATCTCCGTCTTCAGTGAGTTCAAGACAACTGGGAACTCTGAAAAAAACTAGCTCTGACTGGAAAAATACGTTTTGAACTTCCAACTCGGGATTGCAAGTCGGGAACTCGGGCCTCTTTCTAGAGCTCCGACCTGAAGATCACTGACGTCATCATGATGCAACTTTGTTTTTTTCAGAGTTCCCAGTTGAAAGCACCATAAATCCAGAGAATGCCAGACTTTGATGACAAAGTTTGATGACAGAATTTGCCCACGAAGGACAGCTGCGCCACCTTCCTGTTCAAGTGAGCACAGCACAACAAGGTGATTCCAAAAATGTATTGTATGCTGCTGCATAAATGATGTAATATGCCAGGGAGATATGTATACCGTAGCTAAGAAAGTAATACTAAGTGTATGTTGTGTAGTAAGCTGTTAGTCGCCCATGTGCCTCACCCTAATAATTTGGTCTATTTACCCCTCTTAATTTTGACTACTGTTCTAACTTGGTGGTGCACATGTAGCCTATAACCTGTTTTAGAGAAATGTAATCATCGAATATTGTAAGAGCTTTCATTGTCTGCTTATATGCCCCCTTTATTTATCTTACAGTTCTGACTTGGTGTACAGGGAGAATACTGTAAGAACGGCCCATGTTCTGAATTCTGTCGCTGTACATTTCAAAAGTGCTGAACAAATAGTTATATTGACTACGTCAATCCTAGCTCGCTCATTATTTTCTTAATCAAAATTACGGATGGCCTCCGCCCTTATGCCATAGTTTGTACAACTCAACTAATTGTCAGTAGAAAGCAAATCAGCCATATCAGATATGTTTTTTTTTAAGGAAATAAATGAGGCTGAATGAACTGTTTCGCTGCCAGACAAGGCTCTGCTGATAGCCAGGTGTAGCAGTGGTAAAGTGTTGGGACTGCTGTTGGGACTCTGCTGTTGGAACAGCTTTATGTAGGCCCTATAGTGCAATTAATGTATTGTTTAGTGTTGTGTTGTGATGTGTACTGGCTTTGCTGGCACGCATCTATAAAAAAAAAAATCAATTTGCCCCACCAAGATTTACATGCTAAAATCGCTGGTTGAGAGAATGCCAAGAGTGTGCAAAGCTGTCATCAAGGCAAAGGGTGGCTATTTGAAGAATCTCAAATATAAAATATATTTGGATTTGTTTAACACTTTTTTGGTTACTACATGATTCCATATGTGTTATTTCATAGTTTTGATGTCTTCATGATTATTCTACAATGTAAAAAATAGTAAAAATAAAGAAAAACCCTTGAATGAGTAGGTGTATCCAAACTTCTGACTGGTCTTGTATATATCTACATACACTACCGTTCAAATGTTTGGGGTCACTTAGAAATGTCCTTGTTTTCGAAAGAAAAGCAATTTTTTGGTCCATTAAAATAAATCAGAAATACAGTATAGACATTGTTAATGTTGTAAATGGCTATTGTAGCTGGAAACGGCTGATTCAACTGGCAGCTTCATTAAATAGTACCCGCAAAACACCAGTCTCAACGTCAACAGTGAAGAGGCGACTCTGGGATGCTGACCTTCTAGGCAGAGTTGCAAAGAAAAAGCCATATCTCAGACTGCCCATCTTAATCTTTTCTTTTTATTGGCCAGTCTGAGATATGGCTTTTTCTTTGCAACTCTGCCTAGAAGGTCAGCATCCCGGAGTCACTGTTGACGTTGAGACTGGTGTTTTTTTGCGGGTACTATTTAATGAAGCTGCCAGTTGAGGACCTGTGAGGCGTCTGTTTCTCAAACTAGACACTCTAATGTATTTGTCCTCTTGCGCAGTTGTTTAAATTATTTTTTATTTTTTTCACCTTTATTTAACCAGGTAAGCCAGTTGAGAACAAGTTCTCATTTACAACTGCGACCTGGCCAAGATAAAGCAAAGCAGTGCGATAAAAACAACAACACAGAGTTACATATGGGGTAAAAAAAACATAAGGTCATAAAATACAACAGAAAATATATATACAGTGTGTGCAAATGTAGCAAGTTATGGAGGTAAGGCAATAAATAGGCTAGAGTGCAAAATAATTACAATTAGTATTAACACTGGAATGCTAGATGTGCAAGAGATTATGTGCAAATAGAGATACTGGGGTGCAAAAGAGCAAAATAAATAACAATATAGGGATGAGGTAGTTGGGTGGGCTAATTTCAGATGGGCTGTGTACATGTGCAGTGATCGGTAAGGTGCTCTGACAACTGATGCTTAAAGTTAGTGAGGGAGATAAGAGTCTCCAGCTTCAGAGATTTTTGCAATTCGTTCCAGTCATTGGCAGCAGAGAACTGGAAGGAATGGCGGCCAAAGGAGGTGTTGGCTTTGGGAATGACCAGTGAGATATACCTGCTGGAGCGCAGACTACGGGTGGGTGCTGCTATGGTGACCAATGAGCTAAGATAAGGCGGGGATTTGCCTAGCAGTGATTTATAGATGGCCTGGAGCCAGTGGATTTGACGACGAACATGTAGTGAGGACCAGCCAACAAGAGCGTACAGGTCACAGTGGTGGGTAGTGTATGGGGCTTTGGAGACAAAACGGATGGCACTGTGATAGACTACATCCAATTTGCTGAGTAGAGTGTTGGAGGCTATTTTGTAAATGACATCGCCGAAGTCAAGGATCGGTAGGATAGTCAGTTTTACGAGGGCATGTTTGGCAGCATGAGTGAAGGAGGTTTTGTTGCGAAATAGGAAGCCGATTCTAGATGTAACTTTGGATTGGAGATTCTTAATGTGAGTCTGGAAGGAGAGTTTACAGTCTAACCAGACACCTAGGTATTTGTAGTTGTCCACATACTCTAGGTCAGACCCGTCGAGAGTGGTGATTCTAGTCGGGTGGGCGGGTGCCAGCAGCGTTCGTTTGAAGAGCATGCATTTAGTTTTACTAGTGTTTAAGAGCAGTTGGAGGCTACTGAAGGATTGTTGTATGGCATTGAAGCTCGTTTGGAGGTTTGTTAACACAGTGTCCAATGAAGGGCCAGATGTATACAAAATGGTGTCGTCTGCGTAGAGGTGGATCTGAGAGTCACCAGCAGCAAGAGCGACGTCATTGATATACACGGAGAAAAGAGTCGGCCCAAGAATTGAACCATGTGGCACCCCCATAGAGACTGCCATAGGTCCAGACAACAGGCCCTCCGATTTCACACATTGAACTCTATCTGAGAAGTAGTTGGTGAACCAGGCGAGGCAGTCATTTGAGAAACCAAGGCTATTTAGTCTGCCAATAAGAATGCGGTGGTTGACAGAGTCGAAAGCCTTGGCCAGGTCGATGAAGACGGCTGCACAGTACTGTCTATTATCGATTGCGGTTATAATATCGTGCACCGGGGCCTCCCACTCCTCTTTCTATTCTGGTTAGAGACAGTTTGCGCTGTTCTGTGAAGGGAGTAGTACACAGCGTTGTACGAGATCTTCAGTTTCTTGGCAATTTCTCGCATGGAATAGCCTTAATTTCTCAGAACAAGAATAGACTGACGAGTTTCAGAAGAAAGTTATTTGTTTCTGGCCATTTTGAGCCTGCAATCGAACCCACAATTGCTGATGCTCCAGATACTCAACTGGTCTCAAGAAGGCCAGTTTTATTGCTTGCAACACCCCAATGGGCTCGGGAGAGGCGAAGGTCTAGTCATGCGTCCTCCGAAACATGACCCGCCAAACCGTGCTCCTTAACACCCGCCCGCTTAACCCGGAAGCCAGCTGCACCAATGTGTCGGAGGAAACACCGTTCAACTGACGACCTAAGTCAGCCTGTAGGTGCCTCCCCTAACCCGGACGATGCTGGGCCAATTGTGTGACGCCCTATGGGACTCCTGGTCACGGCCGGTTGTGACACAGCCTGGGATCGAACCCGGGTCTGTAGTGACACCTCAAGCAATGCGATGCAGTGCCTTAGAACGCTGCGCTACTCGGGAGGCCCCTGTATTTCATTTTTAATACATTTGCAACAATTTCTAGAAAAATGTTTTCACTTTGTCATTATGTGTGTAGATGGGTGAGAGATAAAAATTATATTGAATCCATTTTGAATTCAGGCTATAACACAACAAAATGTGGAATAAGTCAATGGGTATGAATATTTTCTGAAGGCACTGTAGATTACAGATCTAGGATCAGTTTTCACTACCCAATGCTAAAGGTATCTACAAAGAGTAAAACACTGGAATCTGACTCTGGGTCAGTTGATGAGGAGGAGTTTCCATCCATACAGAGACTCAGACTGATCAGAGTGTGGTGACATTCCTGGAGCATACAGTGGAGCGTCCCCCCCCCCACACACACATACACACCACTCTGTATCTCCGCTTTGTGGACAGAGACCATCTATGCCCCTTGACCTATAGATCTCTGCAGGCAGCCAATCATGTGTGATAATCATAGAAACACACACATCCATAGCCCTGAGTGAGAGGGACAGTGAGGTAGAAGGTAGAGGTTGAGGGTCTGCACCTGCTGGCATCCTTAATGTTAGACAGAGAGGGGGGCCCAGCTGACAAATCACCCTCATGACAGGGGAGGGGCCTTCCAAAATGCCCCTGACCCATCCCACACACACACAGTCCCTGACCGACAGTGTGTGTGTGCACATGCAGTGCGTGTGTGTGTGAGAGACAGAAAGCAGACACCAGAGGAGCACCTCATCCGTCATTGTCAAACATTTCGACAAACAGCTGCGAAATGTCTCTGTTAATGTGTGTGTGTGTGAGAGAGAGAGAGAGAGAGAGAGAGAGAGAGAGAGAGAGAGAGAGAGAGAGAGAGAGAGAGAGAGAGAGAGAGAGAGAAAAGAGATTGGTCTAAGGAGGGAAAGGGAGTTAGTCTCTCTCCAAATGGGTCCAGGTTCTACTAATGTAAAACATAGTTTTTAAACAGTAATACATCTTCAAACATTACTGGATGGCATTTATAAGGTACGGTCTATGTGTGGGAGGGGTGTGAGTTGGGAGGGGTGTGAAGGGGAGGGGCATGAGGGGTGAGGAGTGGGAGGGGTGAGGAGTGGGAGGGGTGAGGTGTGAGAGGGGGAGGGGTGGTAGGTGTGGGTAGGGGAGGTGTGAGGAGTGGGAGGGGTGATGGGGGAGGGGTGGGAGGGGTGAGGAGTGGGAGGGGTGAGGGTTGAGAGTTGAGCGAGGTGAGGGTTGAAGGGTGGGAGAGGTGAGGGTTGAGGGGTGGGAGAGGTGAGGGTTGAGGATTGAGCGAGGTGAGGGTTGAGAGTTGAGCGGTGAGGGTTGAAGGGTGGGACGGGGAGCGGTGAGAGGTGAGGGGTGAGGGGTGAGGGGTGTGTCTTACCTCTATGATGTAGAGAACCACATTCTTATAAAAACAGTAGAGGATACACTTAGTGACACGGTTATAACTCCACGCCCCATGGACCAGCAACAGCTTCTCTAGGTAGGAAAACTAGGAACAGAAAGAGAGGGGAGCGATGAGAGAGAGAGAGAGAGAGAGAGAGAGAGGGGGGAGAGAGAGGTGGGTACAGGGTGAGACAAAGAGATAAGCAGTAGTAGACACCCGAGGGGTAGAGACAGATAAACAGAGAGGGGGGGGGGGGGGGGGGAGACAGATTCCTAGATTCCTCTGGCTCTCACAGAATACTTCAACTAGCTTCTCCCACTCCCCTCCTCCCCCTCCCCCTTCTCCTCCCTGTCCCTTCTCCACCCCCCCCCTCTCTGTTTATCTGTCTCTACCCCTCGGGTGTCTACTACTGCTTATCTCTTTGTCTCACCCTGTACCCACCTCTCTCTCCCCCCTCTCTCTCTCTCTCTCTCTCTCTCTCTCATCGCTCTGTGGTGTGTGGGTGTGTGTGTGTTACCTGTGCGATGGAGTAGTCAGAGGAGTTGGTGGCCTGCATGCCCTCGTTGCCACTGATGCCCACCCCTACATGGGCAGTCTGGATCATGCCCACGTCGTTGGCCCCGTCTCCTATGGCCAGAGTGATGGCCTTCACATGCTTCTTCACCATGTCCACTATCTCAGACTTCTGAAGGGGAGACACCCTGGAGAGAGGAGGGAGGGAGAGAGAGATCAGTTCAAAACAAGTTACAACAACGTAAACGACCAAAAGTAAAAGATCTCTGGAGACTGGAATAAACAGACAGGATAAAATACAACCAGGTGGGGAACAGAGAGAGAGAGAGAGAGAGAGAGAGAGACAGAGAGAGAGAGAGAGAGAGAGAGAGAGAGACACCGAGAGAGAGAGAGACAGAGACAGAGAGAGAGACATATTTCCCACAGATCACACAGACCCACAAAGAATTTGAAAACAAATCAAACATTGATCAACTCCCATATCTGTTAGGCGAAATACCGAAATGTGCAATCACAGCAGCAAGATTTGTGGCCCGTTGCCATGAGAAAAGGGCAACCAGTGGAACACAAACATTGTAAATAAAACCAATATTTATCTGTTTACTTGTCTTCCCCTACTATTCGTACTACAACTATTTGCACATTGTTAAAAACACTACATAGCCGATAATAACATTTGAAACGTCTTTATCCTTTTGAAACCTGTATGAGTGCAATGTTTACTGGACATTTTGGAATGTTTTTTGTTGATGTTGTTTGTTTCTCACAACCTTTGTTTATTGTTTATTTTTGCTTTGGCAATGTAAACATATGTTTCCCATGCTAATAAAACCCATTTGAATTGAAAGAGACCATGCTAATAAATCCCCTTTGAATTGAGAGAGAAAGAGAGAGAGAGAGAGAAAATAACTAACAACATAAATTACAAAACGCATAAAGATCAGAATGATTGGAAATGGAAAATGAGAGCTAAAAAGACAAGTGGGTAAGAGTTGAAGAGAGAAAGAGAGAGAGCAAATGAAATGAGATGCAGGAAGAGTTGGCAGCGTAATAGTAAGACTCCATGAGGTTTTTGTTTAGTGGTTTCCATCAGGTAGGGTAGCAGCAAACCATGAATCACTGCCGAACTTAAAATAACCAAAATGGCTTCCATTTAGAGCCAATTCCCAAGGTAAGTTTGCCTTAACCACAAATCTAGGATTAGATTTGACTGTCCCAGCTCCGAACCTGAACCATTAAGTGAATAGAAATATCTCTGCCCCTGTATCAATGGTTTAGGCAACTGCTTCCCAGTAATGTACTTATTTACATTTACATTTTAGTCATTTAGCAGACGCTCTTATCCAGAGCGACTTACAGTTAGTGAGTGCATACATTTCCATACTGGCCCCCCGTGGGAAACGAACCCACAACCCTGGCGTTGCAAACGCCATGCTCTACCAACTGAGCTACTTATGTTGCCATTCAGTCATTATGATAGCTGGTTGAGGTACTCCACCCTCTTAACCTGTAACCCTCCCTCCCTCTCTGTCTGTCTGTCTGTCTCCTAAACCGGTTCTGTCTGCACACAGACAATGAGATGAAGAGCCCAGGGGAATTCACAGACTGTGTGTGTGTGTCTTTGTGTGTGTCTCTGTCTGTCTGTCTGTCTCTGTCGGTCTGTCTGTGTCTGTGTCTGTGTGTGTGTCTAAGAGACAGAGTATGCCTGTGGAAGATATGGCTCCTGTTACTATCTGTATGTCCGTTTTGTAGGCCTGTAGTCAGACCAGGACCCACAGTGATTTCAAGCCCCAACAGGGAACAGTCTTTCTGGGACAAGACGAAGCAGGCCTGGGTGGGTATGAAGCAAATCTCTACACCAGCATGTAACCTCTCTCTCTCTCACACACACACACACAACTGTGGCAGGCCAGAGGGAAGCCAACGAGTCATAAAGATGATCTGTGTGTTCTGAGCAGGACCGTGGCCCGGTCAAGCTGAAACCGCAGAGCTGGGTGGTCCACTTAGCATTCTCACACACACACAATATCCGAGGGGAAACCCTCAGAGAGAGTTTTGGCTGGAGAAGTCGATGTTGATAGACGAGCTGAGCCTCTGCTCTCTGAGGTGTGTCTGTCTGTGTGAGACAGAGAAAAAGTGTAAGACAGAGAGTCTCTCTCTCTCTCTCTCTCTCTCTCTCCCTCTCTCCCTCCCTCCCTCCGCAGGAGAGGAGGATCACAGTCGCCTCTACACTGAGAGCGCCTGGGGGGAGTAGGAGGATTACAGTCAAATCTACACTGAGAGCACCTGGGGGGAGCAGAACATTACAGTCAAATCTACCATGAGAGCACCTGGGGGAGCAGTGGGATTACAGTCAAATCTACCATGAGAGCACCTGGGGGGAGCAGTGGGATTACAGTCAAATCTACCATGAGAGCACCTGGGGGAGCAGTGGGATTACAGTCAAATCTACCATGAGAGCACCTGGGGGAGCAGTGGGATTACAGTCAAATCTACCATGAGAGCACCTGGGGGGAGCAGAACATTACAGTCAAATCTACCATGAGAGCGCCTGGGGGAGCAGTGGGATTGCAGTCAAATCTACCATGAGAGCACCTGGGGGGAGCAGGGGGATTACAGTCAAATCTACCATAAGAGCGCCTGGGGGGAGCAGGTATTTACAGTCAAATCTACCATGAGAGCGCCTGGGGGGAGTAGGTGGATTACAGTCAAATCTACCATAAGAGCGCCTGGGGGAGCAGAACATTACAGTCAAATCTACCATGAGAGCGCCTGGGGGAGCAGTGGGATTACAGTCAAATCTACCATGAGAGCACCTGGGGGGAGCAGAACATTACAGTCAAATCTACCATGAGAGCGCCTGGGGGGAGCAGTGGGATTACAGTCAAATCTACCATGAGGAGCGCCTGGGGGGAGCAGTGGGATTACAGTCAAATCTACCATGAGAGCGCCTGGGGGGAGCAGGTATTACAGTCAAATCTACCATGAGAGCACCTGGGGGGAGCAGAACATTACAGTCAAATCTACCATGAGAGCGCCTGGGGGGAGCAGTGGGATTACAGTCAAATCTACCATGAGAGCGCCTGGGGGGAGCAGTGGGATTACAGTCAAATCTACCATGAGAGCGCCTGGGGGGAGTAGGCTGATTACAGTCAAATCTACCATGAGATAATATTTTTTATTTTATTTAAGAGCGCCTGGGGGAGCAGTGGGATTGCAGTCAAATCTACCATGAGAGCACCTGGGGGGAGCAGGGGGATTACAGTCAAATCTACCATAAGAGCGCCTGGGGGGAGCAGGTATTTACAGTCAAATCTACCATGAGAGCGCCTGGGGGGAGCAGTGGGATTACAGTCAAATCTACCATGAGAGCGCCTGGGGGAGCAGAACATTACAGTCAAATCTACCATGAGAGCGCCTGGGGGGAGCAGGTATTACAGTCAAATCTACCATGAGAGCGCCTGGGGGGAGCAGTGGGATTACAGTCAAATCTACCATGAGAGCGCCTGGGGGGAGCAGTGGGATTACAGTCAAATCTACCATGAGAGCGCCTGGGGGGAGCAGTGGGATTACAGTCAAATCTACCATGAGAGCGCCTGGGGGGAGCAAGTATTACAGTCAAATCTACCATGAGAGCGCCTGGGGGGAGCAGTGGGATTACAGTCAAATCTACCATGAGAGCGCCTGGGGGGAGCAGGTATTACAGTCAAATCTACCATGAGAGCGCCTGGGGGGAGTAGGCTGATTACAGTCAAATCTACCATGAGATAATATTTTTTATTTTATTTAAGAGCGCCTGGGGGAGCAGTGGGATTGCAGTCAAATCTACCATGAGAGCACCTGGGGGGAGCAGGGGGATTACAGTCAAATCTACCATGAGAGTGCCTGGGGGAGCAAACGGATTACAGTCAAATCTACCATGAGAGCGCCTGGGGGGACAGGAGGAACAGAGGAAGAAAGAGGGGGGTCCAGGACAGGGGAGGGAGGAATGGAGCCATTTTGTAAGGCTTTGGAGACCTGAGTCCGGATATGGCTTTCATGCTAGGGAGAGTCAATTACTTCCCTCCTCACACACACACACACACACACACACACACACACACACACACGTAACTGTCACAGCTGGCTTGAGGTGGAAACATGACTAAAAAAGGTAATGTAAATATTCTAGGAGACATTGAGAGTACATTGTATAAATGAAGGGATAGATGGAGGCAGTATCTCTGGGTGTGTGTGTGTGTGTGTGTGTGTTGTGGGATAATAGCAGTAAGTGAGTCATGACTTTGACATTTCCATGCGGTGCGGTGTATTACATGAACCCCTCTGAGATCCATGCCAAGCCTTTATGATCTACAGTCATTTACTAACAACTACTAAATAACAACCAGATCCTTTATAGTCAGCACCAACCCACACCAACCCCAACACACACCAACCCCAACACACACCAACCCCAACCCACACCAACCCCAAACCACAACCAAAACCCCAACACAACCACCAACCCCACAACAACACCAAACCCCAACACACACCAACCCCCAACAACCAACACACAACCCAACACCACACCAACCCCAACACACACCAACCCCAACCCACAACACCAACCCCAACACACACCAACCCCAACACACACCAACCCCAACACACACCAACCCCAACCACACACCAACCCCAACCCACACCAACCCCAACACACACCAACCCCAACCCACACCAACCCCAACACACACCAACCCCAACACACACCAACCCCAACCCACAACCAACCCCAACACACACCAAGCCCAACACACATCAACCCCAACACACACCAACCCCAACACACACCAACCACAACACCACCCCAACACACACACCAATCCCACCCCACACCAACCCCAACACACACCAACCCCAACACACCCAACCCCAACCCACCCCAACCCCAACCCACACCAACCCCAACACACACCAACCCCAACACACACCAACCCCAACACACACCAACCCCAACACACACCAACACCCCAACCCCAACACACACCAACCCCAACCCACACCAACCCCAACCCACACCAACCCCAACACACACCAAGCCCAACACACACCAAGCCCAACACACATCAACCCCAACACACACCAACCCCAACAACACACCAACCCCAACCCAACACACACCACCCAACACACATCAAACCCCAAC